TCTCAGGGGGGGGGGGGAGGGTGATGGTGCTGGATACGTGGTAACGGAAGAACTTTGTGCGATGGGGGGATCTTGGAGAAGTGTTCAGGGGGTTGATGGAGCGGTTTGAGGAATTTAGGCTATATGACATTCGGTTCCTCGGAATGAATGGTCCTTGTTTTTAGCCTCTTTCTGCGTACTCTTTGTCCTTTCGGTGCGCTTTGGGTTTCCGATGGATTGGTGGTAAGGTGGCGCCCATGTCTTTGGGTTGGAGATTGTGATGGCCTTGCTATAAAATCCACATTCTCTCTTTTCTTCTGTTTTGGGTTTACAATCTACAATTTATCTTGATTAGATTTGTGTAGATTAATACTTGTTCGGTTATAAGCACTAGAGATCATGTTGTCCATTCGAAGTATTGCGGCTCTGATTGTGGCCTTTTCTCAGTTTGATGCTACCAAAGCTCAAGCTGCTGGATGGGATCAATGTAGGTTTTCTCTCTTCTGCTGTTTGTAGTTGTTCTTACGGTCCTAGGTGGTGGTAAACAATGGAACGGGGCTACTACCTGTGCCTCTGGCTGGACTTGTACATACTCAAAGTAAGCTCTCTACAATCCACTACCATTCTATCAATTTTGCTGATCAAGTTTCAGCGAGTGTAAGTGCTCGACTTGGTCTTCGAAAGAGTTCAGAACACTAATTATGAAACTCAAGACTATTCTCAATGTATTCCATCAACAGCTGCTCCTGTCCCGTCACCATCACCACCGGCACCTACAACTCTAGCCACAAGCACCACCGGCAGCACACCCACCGCAGCACCAGTTCCACCCACTACAGGAGGTGGAACCAGCACAGGAGGATCCAACAGCATCAATGAAAAGTTCCGCGCCATAGGGAAAAAATACTTCGGTGTAGCAACGGACCAGAACCGTCTCACCGCCGGAAGCAACTCAGCAATCATCAAATCAAGTTTTGGACAGGTGACTCCCGAGAATAGTATGAAGTGGGACAGTATAGAAGCCTCACAGGGGTCTTTCAATTTTGGGACCTCGGATTATTTGGTGGATTTCGCTACGACTAATGATAAGTTGATTAGGGGACATACACTTTGTGAGTTTCTTTATTTTCGGCATAGGGCTGGGGAAGGATAGAGAGCTAATATCTGTTAGGTTGGCATTCTCAACTTCCGAGTTGGGTGAGTAGTATTAGTAGTGCCAGTACACTTACGGCTGTTTTGGAGAAACATATATCTACGGTGATGGGGCGGTACAAGGGGAAGATTTACGCTTGGGTTAGTTTCCTTCCAGGAATCTTGTTGTCCCACAAACTTACTTGGCTAGGATGTCCTGAATGAGATCTTCGACGAGAGCGGAAACTTGAGATCATCAGTCTGGTAATGGAGCTTCCATTTTGCTTCTTTTTCTAGATTCCTGGTCCTGGTGGTCAGGTGAAGTTTGATCCTTACTTCTACTTGACGCCCTTCCCAAGGGAGCTTCCGGCAGAGCAGAATAAAGACTAGAATCCATTTTTGTTGGCTTGACATAAGTCCGGCTATCTATTTGTTCTAGTCACTTTCACCAACCAAAACGATCGACCTAAGATCGACATAAATAGCATCTCAGCCACTTGTCTACTGGGAAGGGGTGAACATACGCTAATGATGCACAGGTCAAATGTCCTAGGAGAAACTTTCGTCTCTATCGCATTCAAAGCCGCGAGAGCAGCAGATCCAAATGCAAAACTCTACATCAACGACTACAACCTCGATTCCGCGACCTATGCCAAGGTCACTAATGGAAGTTCGTCACTCCCATCATGTCTCCTCTCTGGAACTTGCTAATCAAGCTTTCTCCAGTGGTGGCACATGTCAAGAAGTGGCTCGCAGCAGGAATTCCCATCGACGGCATCGGATCACAAGGCCATCTGCAAGCGAATCAAGGCTCAGCTGCTCAAGGGGCTCTTCAGGCCCTCGCTGCTTCGGGTGTAAGTGAAGTGGCGGTTACGGAGTTGGATATTGTGGGTGCGTCTGCGAGCGATTATGTGGCTGTTACGAATGCTTGTTTGAATGTTCCTAAATGTGTTGGGATTACTGTTTGGGGAATTAGAGACCCTGTGAGCACTTCTTCTTTTTTGTTTTGTTTTGGGGCGTGATAAAAGGATAATGCGAATTGAGGAGCTGCTAACGTGTTTCTTTTGTATTTAGGACTCTTGGAGAGCGAGTAATAATCCTTTGCTTTACGATGCTAGTTATAATCCAAAAGCAGCTTACACTGCTATTTTGAATGCCCTATAGGGTTTGCGGTAGTAGCGAGAAGTTTGTAAAAATAGAAGAAAGGTTGTTGACAAATATGATAGATTGAAAAGTAGGGGTTCACGAAAGAGACTTGCGAGTTGAATATATATTGAATATAACCAAAAGTCAATATGGATGGGCCGATACCCAATAAAAGAAGACCCTTGGGCCTTGACGACATATCTCCTCATTTCCATTCTAGATTTCCAATCAACAAGCTATTCTGTCTTACCCATAATCAAGGTCTAGTGGGTCGCCCTCCTTGCCCAGCTGCAAAAACAGTAGACTCCGACGAAAGATTTGAATTTGGCCACGCCTCTTCTTGGGAGTGGATATGGTCTCTTCGAGTTTGTATATTGGGTAGCGTAGAGGTTGTTGCCTCAAGACCAACCTTTGCCACTCGCTTAAACCCGTCTCTGGTTGCACCAATTATGAAAGTATAAATAGGTATGAAGATACAGAAGAAGAGAAGAGAAAATGAGAATAAATATCAATGCGGAAATGGCTAAATTCCTGGTCTATCAATCTCTTTGGCGGAAGGTCCCCCGGCTGGACCAAACAATATTACTTGCTTGCTTTGTCTTGGCATGCGTGTCTTCAAGTAACTTACCAGTATGTATGCCATTGAGGCCTAGTGTTTCCTGCTTCTTTGCCCATCCGTCAATTAGATATTATGAAATAAAATCGTCTGATCTTTGGGAGCTGGGGGTGGGGTTGTGTCACGTGATAACAGATGGCTGAGACCTTCCACCTGCCAAAACATCTTTATTTATATCTTTCGCTTATCTTATAACGAAGAATATGCGTTGACATGACTTCATTATTGTACCTTTGATTATTTCAACCACTGACTTGTGTTGCGATACTTGGAAGCATTATTTTAGCTGTTTTCGAGATCATAGACGACTGAAACCTTCGTGTTTCCAATCATTCCGGAACACTTGCTTTGCTCAATGGAAGTACGTGCGCCCATGAGGTTTATGCAACAATATAAAATGTGACAGGAATTGTGTCTGTCCTTACAAAGTGGGGGTGTCTGAGCGGGGTACTCGTACTTAACCTTGAATGGGCTGACTAACTATTGGCCCCCAAAAACTGACAAATATAGGCAACGATTGTACTCGAGTAATTCACCTTTATAAAGGCACTCTCACCTTTCTGGCTTGCTGGGGTTATTTCTTCAAAGCTTTAACACCCGGAACTCAGATTTACATTGCGTCCCGGATATATGCTTCAGGTCCTCGATCCAAAAGCGACACTATTCAACACTCGGCCTAGATGGGTTACGAGGCAAGGTATAACGACGATAATGACCATGTAAGTCTAGGATGGTAGAGCCCTTCGTTTGGGATTTCTGGAGTTTAGATACTTCCAAATATCTCTTCGTGTCCAATCTTTCTCAATCTACCTCCGAACAAAATTGAAGAAGCATACTAATCCCAAGATTCGGTGTTACAGGTAGTCATTTCACACGACGGCCAAGTTATCCGCGACGACCACGTTTTGGCATACAATTGTGTGAAAAAAGACAAGAGGAATTTTGAAGAGATGTACCCCGGTAAAAAGTTTGCGCCAAATCCAAAAGATGCCTTATGGTTTCCCACACCAAAATATGGTCACATAGAGTATGTTTGATTACCCCGCCAGTTCCCGGAAAAGTGGCTCTGAAGAATATATTGCTAACACAAAACAAAAGACTTAGAGGCGGTCGATTCCTGAAGACAAATTTCAATAATGTCTTTCAACCAGAGATATGCCCCGATCTTCTTGTAAATCACTGCGTGAATTCAACGGCGAAAAATCTGGCAAGCACGTTGAAGAAAGCCAAAAAAGGCTTCTCACAGACCGAAGAGTGTCAATTTCTCACAGCTCAACTGGAAAATATCAAGAAGAGGGTACACATCAACAATGTGATTCTCATTGGACCTGGCCCAATGGACGAGTTTGTTCGGGAAAGCCGCAAGTCGAAGATCAACAAGCTTTTGAAAATCACTTTCATAAGTGGCGTGCTACAACTAGCCGCAGCCCTGAAAATATGTGAGGTTCTCGGCGGTAAGTATCGAGTGCATTCCGCTCCCGCGGTTGAACTCTCCGAGTCATGTAACTAAAGTTCGCAGAGCCAGGGAACCCTCTTCCATTGATCGCGCAAGAGCACCAATACTCAGAATTCGAGAAGGACTTCCTGAAAACAAGACTCAACGTGAAGACGGTAGACGATCCCGACGCTTTTACATTGATCAACAACCAGTCGCTCGTCTTCTACACCAACATTGGCCCCCACATAGACTACTTTGTAAGCAAAGGAGAATGGCCCGCAGCTCTCCTCACGAATGAGCGATCGCTCCTACTAAAATATCCTGATGTTTCTGGAGGCTTTGCACAAGAGATAACCGATCACATATATCGAATGTTCGACTGTTACGAAAAGTTGCCCATTGGCGGGGAGGAAAAGTCAAAACAGTTCTTTGGCAAACTCGAGGAAGGCGATGATCCGAAATATAAACGCTTCCGACCGTGGACGAATGACGTCTTCCTGTGGGCGAAGAACGTCGACTCGAAGGCAGGGGCCCAAGGAAGCGAATAAATTTTATGTTCTTCAGATATCAACATGAACATGGTCCACACATAAATCTCATGGCCCGCGTGGATTTAAATTTCTTATATCTCTGATGAATAACGACGACCGAGAAGATGAGGGTGATTTTTCAACATACAAGTGAAAAGTAAGTAAACACATATCTTGTAGATATAGACTGGCAACCTGTTCGCGAAGCTAGACATGTAGATATATATACGAATACATGAACTCCTGAAATCAATCTAATCTAATCTAATCTATCATTAACCAAAAAGAGAGAATGCAGGTCAATTATTTACAAAGTTTCCACGACAAACTCTTATTGAGTTTTCGCCAATCATCCCCTATCCAGACTTTGCCTTCATATTTCACCGTTTACTGTACAGTACTGACGGTTTTCGTCTAATTCCTCTTGCAATTTTGGAAGAAAGGATATCCTTACCAACATCCTCTGCATATGCACCTACCTGTGTACCCAATGACATGCTCAAGTATTCGTATTCAGTTTCCTGGAGGAAAACAAGAGACTCGAAAAGAGACACTCTAAAACCATGTTTACTCATCACAGGTGTTATAGCATCACTTGCTCTCCATACGTCATAAAGAGCTAGCCGAGACGTGGTATTGGAGTCCGTGGGTATCATCGAGTCCGCCAATTGCATATCATCCGAACTCTCGAACTGTCGCCGCAGCCCCTTGTATATATCTGGAGCATGGTAGCGTGCAGCTTTGCGGTCGGTACTTTGGAGATATGCAATAGCAGCTTTTGATTATTCACCCGGTCCTACTTATTTCGCAGAGTGTTTGATGCAATGGTCTTATGGATGTATGGACGCCATGTTTGAATATACCAGCAAAGAGCGAGTTGTTGAAAAGGTTTGGTAGAAGATAGCGAGATTGAATGCTAGGATAAAAATGAGTTGAGGGGATTGAGAATAGTGATGAGGAGACATAAAAATCTCCACCACTCCTGTGCGCGCGCCCGCACGCTATGCACGTAGACACGCGATCAGATCAACAAATATGCGAGAACTGACAGACAGCCATAAAATACAGCAAACCACCCCTCACAAAAACCACAAAAATACAGAAACCAAAATTTAAAATGGCAAAAGCTCTGGTGTCGCAATGGGAAGTTGTCGCTATGGGCTCGGTCTAGAGAAATCCACTATGAGGGGGGGATTTTCAGGGAACAGCTCCGTGTGCTTGTCGCATATGGTCATTCACATTACTCACTCCAACTGACCTAGCCAGGCGTATAGTACTGGATTTTCGTGAAATGAAAAACGCTTGTTTGTGGTTATTAATATTCTTTGGGGATTTGTGGGACTTGTGGGATAAGCGAAGGGGGCTGGCGGGGGAGCTTCGGTTCAGTCACTTGATGTTTCTGTGGTGAATATATCATACTAGAAGTGATCATGCAGCAGAGGAGAATACCATCATGGAGATTTGGTAATAACAGTGATACCAACTTTGCTTCGAGAACCAACTCTGACATTACCTACCCAGAAGCTCCAACAGCTCTATCGAAAACTGATAACGTACATTCCCACACAATCTTACTGGCTCCCTGCAATCTCAAAGCTGCCAACGCAGGCGTGAATCTCTTACTGTCATCCGAAGGTCCTAGGATATAAACACCACTTCCTTCGATATCCTCCGCAACTTCCGCACCCTTGGGTAGCACAGTAGCCTCCACTCCACCCGAAGTAGGGTTTCTAGGAGGATATCTAGCACTTGTTGCTAGAAACAAGCCCCTCTCACCGGCCTCATCTACACTCACAGCCATCAAATTCACAATCGGGAGAAGGAACCACTTGAAAAAGGTGGCAGGTTTGGCGAACAATCCTTTCTGCGATCCCAGAAATCTTCCAATTGCACCAGTATTCACGAATCCAGGGTATTTATGAATGAATGTGATGGAAGGGTTGGAATTTGCCAGTTCTTCGAATGCGAGTGTGGTTTGCGTGGTACTGTACTTCATCGCTTTTTGGGCTTTGAAGTTGTTTCTAATTTCTAGATCTTGGAGGTCGATTTCAGATTCTAAACCGCCGCCTAGGATGGAGATGACGCGTGGGGCTGAAGATGCGTTGAGGAGGGGAAGAAGATTGTATGTGAAACGAAGGCGGGTATAGTAAGTGAGAGCGTACGATATATCGATTCCTTCGATTGTATCTGGGGTGTGTCAGTATATATCCGAAGAACTTGGAGAATCGAGAGGTACACACCATTCCTTTCTCCTAAAGTAATGTACGCTGGGCTCATGAATAAGAGATCTACCTTTTCTTCCTTCGACTTGATTTCCTCACACACTTTGTCGACGTTTTTCAAGAGAGTTATTTCAGTTTCTTGAAAGACATAGGTTCCTTTTGGATTCAGCGATTCGAGCTCCTTTAGTATCGATGCAGCAGCGCTTTCCGAACATCCGGCGATGTAAATTTGGGGAGAGCTGCTCTGTTTTGCAAATTGCTTCAAGGTTCCTAGACCAATGCCCGACGTAGCCCCAATGAAGACAGCAACTAGTCCGTCCCTCCGCTTGCTTTGACTCTTTGAACTTTGCATTGGAGACTCTGATATCTTCGATGGCAACCATTGCGAATATTTCACTTGATGTTGAAGAATGTGCAAAGAGAAATGAAAGTTACTGAAAAAAAAGTGGAATGGAAGTCGCTAGAGGGAATAACTTAGCTTTCTATACACTTTTTGAGTACTGGCGCTGGTACATTTAGGCATCATTGTTCTATAGGAGAGTGAGTCGTAAATCGATGCCGCTCGCGTTCTTGAAGGTCTCAGGGGTTGAATCCGAGGATCCTTGATAGGTGCAGGATGAGCTTTGTAATAGCTGTCTCTGATAGGTTTAGAAGAAAATGTATGGGTAGGTAGCTACGAGCACCACGAGTAACTGAGAAGACAAATTGACAATGGGAATCTAGCAGATATTCCTTGCTGATATGAGTCATAAATTCGGAATGAGAGTATGACAAATCCATCTCACTTGCTGAATTGGTGATTTACGAGTATCTCACTGGAAGAATTTTGATAGCAATACAATTCACGTGACATCTATCAACTTCATTCAAGGTTCTCAGGTTTGGTTGATACAAACCGCGAAAGCACCTAGAGCCCCGCAACCGAACTAGCAAGACTAAACATCGCGCATCAAACCCCCCATATACCTTTCAATATGGCGACAAGATCATTATCAAGAACCTGCTCACAACTAGCATCCCCCCAAACATCTTGCGCAGCACGAGCTTTCATCCAACTCGCCCCCCGAAGATTCCACCATGCAACCCCACCACCCCTCGATTTCCTCCTCCCTTCGCTCTCGCAGACTCCCCATCTCTACCCAAGCATAAGGGCTCATCCAAGCCGAGCTCATATGCAAGCGAAACGAGCATTTACATCCTCCACCCGGCGCCAAACAAGCGCCATCTACAACCCGCAGAAAGATGACGACGGGAATCTAATGGAAATCGATATTACACCTCGAGCCTCCAATGTAAGTTCGCAGATGTCTAGAAGGATTTTTACGTTACGAGAGACTGTGCTAACATGTTGGGCAGAGGTTAAAACAAATCATGGCCAAAGACGAGAATCCCGACCTAGCCCTTCGATTCCAAGTAACAAGCGGCGGTTGCCACGGCTTCCAATACACAATGGAACTCACCACCCTCCCATCCCTCCCACCAAACCCCGAAACCAAATCGCAATTGAACGAAGACGATACCGTATTCATGGCAGACGACGGATCAGGAGCGAAGGTGGTTATGAATGCCGATAGTCTGGAGTTACTCAAGGGAAGCAAAGTCGACTTCAGTATGGAATTGATAGGAAGTCAGTTTTTGATTGCGGATAACCCAAGAGCGACGAGTAGTTGTGGATGTGGGACCAGTTTTGCCGTTGCTGACTGAGGGACGGGAGCTGGTGAAGTTTGGGAGGTATAAGGATGGTGGAAAACGTCGCCATACATGAGAAGCCGTATACAGATCAAACTCAGAGATGTACAGTATCGCCAAAATGAGAACTCTAATCAATATCTCTTCACTAATACACAATCCATATGTACATAAATCACAACCTTCGCCCGAATTAAAAAGATCAAAACGGTTTGTATGTATGCCCCTCCAATCTCTACAATAAAATACTAGTTCGTCGTAGTGAAGATATGGACATAGGACACGGAAAGAGGAAAAAAGGTGATCTCAGAATCTGCGCATAGACACTCTTAGGATACTAGGCTTGGGTAGGCATTCAAGGAACCAAAAAGAGTTAGCACGTAAATAGATAAGTTGAAGTAAAGAGAATTCCTTTACTCCATAGAGATTGGCCCAAAATACGACATGCCTAATAGCTTCAAGCCAGATGGGTGATAGGAAAACTAGATAATAGCCCTCGGACGTGTGTTCAGATATCACAAAAGTAGATCACACAAGTGGATTTCTGGGCAGCGTCATATCATTCATTTTATGCTCATATTGCGCCATTTTCCCCCAATGCTAGCCGTAGCTGAAGCATGAAAAAACAGACCCATGCCCAATCAATATCAACTTTACAATAGCCTAGTTCATTCTTCTGATCAAGGCATTGATCTTGTCCTCTCGGTTTCCAAGATCTCCACCCTCTACGAAGTGACGGAACTTGCGGGTCTTGAAGCCACCGGCAGTTGGGTTGGAGAGCTTGAAAGGCCACAAGAAGTTGGCAGCTTGCTTGAAGTTTGGTCCCACGGTGAAGATCTCGTGGATCAAATCCTCCATACAGACGATACCGTATTTGCCAAGGGTGTTCTCGATGATGGCGTTGTCGGTAAGAGCAATACGTTGCTTCTCGACCTTTCCGTATCCACGCTTGTAGATGAGCTCACGAACAGTCTTGAGGTTGGGGTATCCGTAAGCGATCCATGGCTCGACAACCTTCAACATCTCGAGGGTAGCCTTGGTCATGCGGACAAAGACACCATTGTTGATTTGGAGAAGACGGAGGAGTTGAAGGATCTTTCGGGGCTTTGGTGCGATCTTGTTGATACTAAAGGCATGTTAGAATGAGAGTGAAAGACAAATAACAACGTGGATTGCTTACCCCTTGATACGGACAACGAAGACCAACTTTTCCTCGGCTGGGATGTAGAAGGAACCGTCTTGCTTGGCCAGACGTTGAAGGCGGATCTTCTCACGCTCTTGGTCGCGGTACTCCTTGACGTACTTCTCGGCACGCTTGAAGATAACACCACGCTTCTCCTTTTGCGCCTATTTAATCAAGTCAGTAATGGGCTAGAGGTATAAATCTCAAGCACACAAATGACATTCTCAAAGACAGATCAGACCCGAAAGATGGTTAATTGGCGACAACATCGATACTTTGTATCTAGCCGCGAAAATGGTGTTATGCATCATGTAGTCTTTGAGATGCCATCTTTGTGTTGTTGAATGAAAATATCCACGAACCTTCTTCTTCTTCTCAAGCTCGGCGGATCGCTCCTCTCTGGCCTTCTCCTGGCTCTTGCGCTTCTTCAGGAGAGTCTCTGGGACGAGAATTTGGTCAACGGTAGGGACGGATCTAGTTCAGTTAGTCGTGTGGTCCAGCATATATTGTGTATGATATGAAGATGAGCGCCGAGTGGGAATTGCAGCTAAAGCGCAACATTCTCGCAGATGGCTAACTCGAAAGTATGGTTTTGATCGGTGAGATGACCCAAGGGTATCGATAATTCGAGAACCCAGTAGAGGGGAGAATGATACGAATGATTGGCAGAGTCTCATCCGACAAGACCCCAGACGTCAGTCCAGGAAGAAGTGCACGCTCTTGATAATTTCCTAGCCCATGCGCAGTGCGTTGGTAGTACTTTATTTTTTGCGGCAGATGAATTTAAAGGAGAAGAACAACTCTTCAACCTCAAGACCCCATGCTACCTTTCCAGCGACGCAAGTTATGACACCTAGATCGAAGGGAAGGTAGCTCGGGAAAGATATCGAGCTGGCTGCCAGACATCGGTCACTCTGGAGCTGACTTTCGATGTCGTGGTAACTCAGCGAGAGGACGGCGGACTAGAACTGCAATCCCATCTATCAGCGTTGAGATGGGATTGGGGAAAGCTTACGTCGAAGGCATGGTGGGCGATGTTGTCGATGGTTGTCGATTTTTGGCGTGTAGGAAGTTCAACAGGAACAAAAAGTTCGAAGCAAATACGGAATTTCAAGGTGGGCGCTAACTCTTTTTGGTCTACCTCGACACGTGACATGTCTAGCTGGCAGTGGGGCGTGCAGGGGTCGAGTTCTCTACTCGGTACTGCCGCTTTAAGGTGTCCTGCCTGGGCGACTCAACACCAAAGAACAAACTTTGGGAGCGTCAAGATGTCAGCTCTATTTGCAATCGGATCAAACGGCTCTGGTCAACTAGGAATCGGACACATGGAAGATGTTTCCGTACCAAAACAAGTTCTCTTCAAAGCTGGCGATCCTAATTCCATTACTCAAGTGAGAGCAGGAGGAAATCACACATTGCTACTCGCCTCAAAAGAGTTATACTACTCAGGGGATGTCACTAGTGGTGCATGTGGACTCATCTCCGAATCAGAAACTCCAGACTCCCAATTTCGGAAAATCCGACTGAGCTCAGAGGAATCTTCGGCTCTCCACCAACCCATTACGACTTTATGTGCTGCTACATGGGAAGCTTCTATCATTGTTCAACAAGACGAGAAGGGACGTGCTACCAAAGTCTACAGTTTTGGAATAGGCAATAAAGGCGAGCTGGGGCAGGGAGAGCTGCTCTTTCGCTCTCCAAAGGCTCAGCTCTTCAACAACTTTCCTCCTGCTGGGCTTGAGGTGGTAGATTTGGCGGCTTCCGTTAGCCATGTACTTGCTGTTTTGGACAATGGTGATGTGTATGGATGGGGAAGCGGTAGGAAGGGTCAGTTAGGCCAACCTGAAGGAATCATACATCAACCACGAAAGATTGAAGGTATCGACTTCAAGGTTGTTCGGGCTGTTTGTGGACGAGAGTTTACGTATCTGTTGGGTGAAGCTTCCACTGGGAAACATCTTGTCTTGGGATCCGACAAAGGGACTATCAAATCCGCCGCACCAAAATCCGCGCCTGGATGGAAAGATGTTGGTGCAAGTTGGGGAAGCATCTTTGTTCTATTGGAAACCGGAGAACTACTATCTTGGGGTCGAGATGATCATGGCCAACTTGCACCACCCAATCTACCTTCAATATCGGAAATCGCCATAGGCAGTGAACATGGTATAGCCCTTTCTGTAGATGGAAATGCGTTAGCATGGGGATGGGGCGAACACGGAAATTGCGGACCAAACACCACGAGTGGAGACGTTAAAGGCAGGTGGAATGTTGTGGCATCCAATAAATATTTACCGCCAGGAAGTAATATTTCCAGTATAGGAGCAGGGTATGCTACGAGCTGGGTTTGTATCAATAGCTAAGGGGTATATCTTGCTCCTCTTCCTTCGTAGCATCCGTTAACGTGCTCACGTTGTGGTCGCTATTGGATGGACTAGCTGTGAGATGACAGCAAACCATGGCGCATTTGATGATGGCCCAGATTTGTTGTGATTTCGTACATTTGGAATCAAGTTGTTAATCGTCGAACATACCCTTGATCTGTTGAGATTAGAAAACATGCTCCCAGCGAAAGATGTGGATTTCTCACCTCTGTCATGCTTTGGGTCGGTCCAAGGCGCTGTGTTGGTGCCAGTCGGATGTTCTGGTCGTCTCTTGAATCACCGGGATGGTTTTGATTTTGTTGCGTACGAGTAGAGTTTAACGTCGCCGAATGATTCTATCGCTAGTCAGAAGGATATTCTCTAGCGGAAAACATACCTACATGTTCTTCTCCTCGATCCTGGTCCCAAAGCAACATGGCATCATCGTCATCATCGTAATTGACTGGGTCCCATACTTGGTCTCCATCAGCGGCAGGCACGAAGAGAGCATCGGATGGTATGCTAGGTTGTGGCGGTGGTGGAGACGGTCTGGTCATTTTACTCTTTCCGGTTTCCCTTTCTCGCATGGAAGCAGTTCGAGGTGGAGGTGGCATTTCCGAAGGCGTTGCTCTTCCAGAATTTGAAGTGGCATCTGGAGGCTGTCTTGATGCGGGTCGATTGGAAACTGCTCTAGATGCCGCTCTAGAAACATTCGGTATAGGAGTTGCCGATTTGCTTCTGACTTCCCCAATCGTCATTAGAATGAACTCACTTAAAACGCCTCCGCCATCAGTATAAGTTAGTTGCATTGGTGATGCTGGGCGGGAATAACAAGCTTTCACAACGGTAGCCGTTATACCGGCATGCGTTATGATTGATTTAAAGTCTTTGACGCTAACAACTATATGAAGTTGCTCTTCAACTGAGAATTCTGTAAATTCCAAAGTATCCACTGCAATCGTCGTATGTAGAGGCTGCTTCAGTATTTCTGAGAAGTATTAGCAATTACTTGGAGATAGAGCGAGGTGATATTCCACCATTTCCTGACACGATTTTCTCGGTGTAGCTGGTCAGACTAACGCGGCCATCCTCTGAGTATATATCAAGCTGTTCAGTACCGGGTCCAAAGTGTTCCACAAACTCTCGTAACGTTCTTGATGAAATTGCCCAATGATTGTTCACGTTTGCCTTGGTAAATTGGGCATGCATAGGAGCAACAGACTCGAAGGTAAGACGATATGTTTTGATTACGCCTATCAAAATAAATCAACTTTTCGTGCAAAGAAAACTCATTCACATACCATGCCTGCAGATAATCTTGACAATGAATCGGCTTCTTGCCTGGCCTTCGCCATCTTGAACTGTGACTTCACATCTCTCAATGGCTGTCTCTCTTTCTCGAGATGGATCGCCGACTCGACCTTTGAAAACGGACAACAGAGCCTGGAAATCATATCAGACGAAGTTTTACAAGTTCAATGTCAAAACTCACTTTATTGTAAATCTTACAACTGAACTTTTCTCTGGATTGAGAAGATCCTCTCACGAGTGGTTGCTTGTAGTGGAACTTTGTGAAGAATTTATTTCCAACCAAGGTGAAAGAAGCGTACGCAGATTTGGAAGAATTGAGAGCAGTCAAGACCAGCTGAGAATCATTCAAATCAGTTTCAATAATTGAGAGAAAGATGCCAAAAATTGCCGACCTTGTCTTGAGATGCTTCGATAGAAACGGCTTCATTGAATTTACCGAGACACACGAGAGCATCATGCATCTTGCTGATTGCCTCGGGATTGAGCGTGAAGTTGAGAATCGTCATGATGAGAAGGCAAGGATCGTGTGCCTATGATGTTGTTCATTCCTCTACATGCTACTTTTGTCGCATGGTTTGGAGAGCAGCCAACCAATACAGTATGGTGTTGGAGTGAGAGCGTGGTTGCTACTATGCTGTACTGCGCGGTGCCTGGAGCGCGTTACATAAAGGGGCAGGCTCGGCGGCGCGTCATCGTTTTGTGCCCCGCGTTTTGTGCGAGTCCAATCCAAATCAACCAACAACACCAAACATTTTTTTTCTCATCGCACTTCCTTGGTGGAGGTCTCTGCCCCTGATAATATATCTTGGCTTGATTCCGCTCATTGTATTCTTGGGTACTCGTACTCCTGCTGTCATTGCCGCGGCCAAGATGCTGCAATTGCCGTGGGATGTGCTAGCCATGGTCTGCGAGGAGCTCGAGAGGCGACAAGATTTCGGAACTCTGTTCAACTGTTCATTGACTTCCAAGTCCCTCGTATACCCTGCTCTTAGCGGGTTGTACAAGTAAGTCTAAAGAGCCCGTCCTTGATACCTCAAACGGGCGGTTGACAAACGACAGAATCCAACACGAGTCACCCATTACCAACGAAGATAACGATGCCGAGTATGCGAGGGTCCAGCTGCTTCCACCACAGGCACGCGAAGACTTCCGGAATCGCGTCAAGAGGAAGTGGGCTCTGCTCTGGAAGTCGATTGTTCGAAGCAGCCTCGGCGCTACATACTTGCCATACGCACTCTACATTAAAGTATTAGATCTCCGAAATCTTGTAGAACTTCTACAAGACCTTTGGTTTAGAAGAATCGGGTTTGAGTTTTTCTTCGTAGATGATATGGCAAAGTTTCTCATTCATATAGACAAACTCCCACCCGCCAAGAAGACAAGGACTGGTGGCAAGAAGACAGCATATACCGACGCAGACCAACAACTGATACTCAATGCGGTCGGCGAATCGATTACCAGCTTTGTTTATGATTCGGCGGTCAAGGGTGGCTTTGAAGCCGCTCTCGAGGATATTGCAGGCGACATTAGTACGGTTTCCTTGTCCAGGTAAGTCGCCTTCTTGTGGTTGTCCTTGGAGGAGTCTTTCCTATAGATTTGGGATTTTCTGTCAATCTTCATCATGGGATCTAAACCGAGTCCTCCTAAAGCTTTGGATAGTCTGCATAGATCATTGTGTGTTTTCTTTCAAGGGGCTCTCTATTGCGACTATGTTATCTCCGTTGAAGAAGGAAGCTGACATCAAGTTTTTGGTACCAGATGGGCTGGCAAATTGTCCAAATTGAAGAGTATGACTCTGTGGAACGGAAGCGCTCTGAATTCAGCTGTAGCTACGTCTATTGCCAGCAAGTGCTTTGGTTTCAATGACCTTAGTTTCCTCTACTATATTCCTGGAGATGACTCTATGGATAGCGGCGACACTAGACTTGCCTCATTTTTCTCATCTCTTAGGGCTGATAGTCTTGAGTCCTTTGGAGCCTTGGATGCAAAGCAGATTGGTCCTGAGACGATACTTTCTTTAAATCACCACTCGGCGTCCTTGAAGTCTTTGAAACTCCTTGAAATGGACATACAGGGGTTGAAGAATCTCAATCTTCTGAAGGGTTGTGATAAACTTCACTCTCTCGAACTTACTACAGCTAGAACCGCGAGTTACGTCGATCTTGAGGCTACCGAGAATGATGTCTTCCTAGAGGTTATCGATTGGATGGGGAAGTGTGCTAACCTTCAGGATATACACTTTGCGTTGCTGAGCGGCCCTGCCATATTAACTCACGTCTGCATGGCGAGTGGTCTCCGATTACGAAGTATCACGGTAACTGACTGTTCGCTCGTCAACAATCAAAATTTTCACAAGGCCCTTTCGCATCAAACATCTCTGGAAAAACTCACCTTGACTGCGGACCCCGAAGGTGCCTTTGGGGACGATATCGAGGTCCTTGTAAGCTCCATTTGTCAACTGAAGAAACTCAAGGAGCTACAACTCGTCAACACATCGGATTTCTTTAGTTCTCATCACATTACAAGATTGGCATCCAACCTTTTAAATCTCGAAACCTTCTACTTCTCGGGTTACGACGTTGGTGATCAGATCTGGGATGCTATGGCTGGCTTAGCACGTCTTCAGAGTATCTACACATTTGGAGTGACATCCTTTACCCGCGAAGGAATTCTCAAATTCATTGACATGTTGAAGCCCTCCAATCGAGGTTTAGTATTGGCCATTCTTTCACAAAATCCACAATACGTTATGGGCGAAGAAGACAAACTTTACATTCAAGAAAGACTCGCTGCCAAGGGTGGGGAGAAATTCGAATTCGTTTTGTACAGAGAAGAAGATGTCAGTGGGTCTGATTTGTCTGATTGAGAAATTTGTCTCTTTGGGCGGCGGCCAGTGCGATGTTTGTTGGCGTTTTTGGTTTCAAAATTGCACGCAGGGTATACCGATTGTTTTGGCGCAGGAGCTGTAATGGAGTTTCGAGGGGCCCTTTTTTGCCAATCTATCTACTTGCCAAAATTTGCCGGCATAATAATGTTCGTTGGGTGGCTGGAATGACCTTTCTCTTCAAAGTCAGTTGCATGCTATGGAATTGGTTGGACAACCTTACATTTTGCTGGAACAATAAGAGCGGCATACAACGTTCTGCTTTTGTAGTGTAGCATACATAATAAAAAGTAGACACAGCTACCAGGCTTTTTTTCACAAAACAGCAAAAACGATGCTCCTGCATTCTGGCATATAACTTTCCACATATGTATTGAGCCAGGGCGCTAGTGGTTCCTTGATTTTGAACTCACCGGGCTGCTCCTTACGTGTGTCCCTGACATTGATACGGAATTCCACGCATTACAACAGGCAGACTTGAGGAATTGTCAACTGGTCCAAAGATACTGGTCGCCCGGGGCCAGCGAAGACGCGTAATCTGGTTCCTTGTATTCAGTTGCCAAGAATTTCACAATTCCAAGGCCAAGGTTATCTGGTGCCTTGAATGATACTTATTGAGTACGAAACAATTCTGGCTGAATCCAAACACTTCATTCAATTCGTCTACATGCCTAAGCACTATAGTATCGTGGCTAAAAAGGGCTTCCCTTCTTCGTTCAACTAGAGTATGAGATTCGCATTGGCTTCTTCAGGAGTATTAGAAGAGAAAGCAACTCGTTCGCCTAGTTCTTCCTGTGTATCTTGGAGAATAGGCATGGAAGCGAAAGTGCTGGATACTATATTTGAAAGTAAGATTATGTCTTTTACAGGTATTGAATTTAAGTCCTTGCACATGTGGTCTCACTCTAAGAAGAACTTTTTAGTACGCATATTAAGTGAAAATCACAATAGCAAGTACGTCAAGAATTGCGTAAGAAGCCAAGTATAAGAGACTGGTATAAGGAATGAAATGGTACTTTGTAGCTAAGCTAAGTAAGTGAACCCTGGATGTCCCTCAAAGCAAGGGATGGCGTGGTGGAGACCGTATGTAAATAACACTCTATTCCCACACATTCTCTCCAAGATCAAGGAGACTAGATTGTAGAAGCAGAATTGAAATTGATTCATACTTTTCGAAGTGATAAGACACCTTAACCACCTCCTTATCTCGCAACTGCAACCAACTACCCACAGGGTTCCATCACTTCGTGTTTGTCAAAACACTTTTCTCCCTCGGAATCTTGAAAAAAAAAAAAGAGACGAACATACTTCAAATATAACTACCTGCACACACGTGCCAATAGGCATGATAATCTCAAGATAAGTCTCCCAGATCCTCTGTCAAAGAATAGTCTTCCTTCCATCTCTGCACAACCTATCATCATTCAAGACGGGTCCGTCCAAGTGCTGTAAACTGGAAAGAGACAAGAGATCTTTTATCTACATATCAATACAATATTTTAAACAAAAGCCTCATTTAGCATTCAAAATCTCTCAAATACCGAGATATAAATATCCAACAACTTCAGTATCTCCAGCGGTGAAAATGGGAAGATCACGAAATCTGTTTGTTCAATCATCCTCTCCCTTTCTCAAAAAGTAGAAGAAGGGTCATTAGTCATGGCATCCTAGAACAACAATTCTTCACGGGGAGGGACAACCAAACCCGACAGAAAGGGTAAGGACGTGAAAAATAGTAGTAATCGAATTTACTTTATTCCCCAAAGAAGACTTTCATCATACAATACCTAATCTAATGATTTATGTTCAATCGTCAGTCGGTATACGTCACATTAAATGAGGCTTATTATCAGTTTTCTTTTGTATTACTAGCTAGCTTCAAGTACTTATAATTCGCCTATATATATATATAAGTGGAAAGCGAAGTATAAGCGCCCTCGGCCACGTACCCCTTACAGGGGTAGTTGAACTAACTAAAAGCTAAGTAGTCAGACTTCGACCGTATTATAGACTAACTAAAAGGCTCTATCTAGCGAAACACGAAGTATAAGATCTAAAACCCTCCTAAATCGCAAGGCGAGCCTTCTAGCGAGGGGGATGTAGGTAGGATAAAAGAGCTTTAAAACGCTTAAGAGTAAAAAGAATAAGCGCTAAGTTCTCGGACTTCGACTATATTATAGACTAATTCGAAGGCTCTATCTGGTGAAATATAAAGTGTAGAGTAGGGCGATAACTTCGGCTAGATAGGCAAAGAAGTATAAAAACTAGGGTCTAAACCCCTCCTAAATCGTAAGGCGAGCTTTCTGTAACGAATACTCAAACTGGCTAACTAAACTTGGCTGGGTGTTCGCTGGTTGGTATGCTATGATAAGAAGAAGACTATCGGGTTGTTCACTTGGAAGTGAACTCGTTACTTGTATCAAAGATGTCAAACAAATATGATAAGATTGATAACTAAGTTGAGCACGAAGCTCCTATCTAATGGCAGACGTGCCAGTCTTATATAGAACTTCCGTTCTTTTGTTCCAACAGTTGGATCGCTAGAGTCGCTCGTCTACCGAGTCGACCCAGGCGACTGGAGCGCTCGTCGCTCCAGGATCCTATCTAATGGCAGACGTGCCAGTCTTATATAGAACTTCCGTTCTTTTGTTCCAACAGTTGGATCGCTAGAGTCGCTCGTCTACCGAGTCGACCCAGGCGACTGGAGCGCTCGTCGCTCCAGGCGACCCAACTGTCACGTGATTATAACCAAAGGAAATCCCTGGATCGCTTAGCTAGCCTAGCTGATCCCTATTTGCTATAAGTCTACGGATGTGCTTGACCTGTCAGGGCGCCGCCTGGTCTTCACTCTTCACGTGTTAACACGTGATTCGTGACAGATTATCGCTTAAAGAGGGAATCGTAAACCTAAAAATCTAAACGTACATATACTGCGTTAAAGGGATAGTAGAGAAAAAATAGAAGAAGAAAGATAAAAACCGATAAAGTAGTTTAATACAAATCCAAAATTCCATATACACACCCCCTCCATCAAATCGCAAGCTCCCGCGCTAGCTAACTAATTAACTAGCTGGCTATAAGTAAAGAAGGCATCACAACCTACAAGACAGGGCATACTTACTCGCGTAGAAGCATTTATAATACCAGGTAGGATAGGTAAGTACTAGGTAGCAAAGATAGGAGTCTCGGCTAAGAGCCTTCTTTAGCCTTGGAAAAATTCATTCTCACCTAGTTACCTAGTCTATATACCTAGTCTATACCCCTTAACGAGACGTATCTAGACTGGACAGAAACCCCCCATCCTCATCCATCGTCCAACGAAGAAACAAAAGGAATATGAAATCAAGACCTCGATAAAGTATATTAAAAAAATCTTTTGTAATTCATTATAAACATTTGGTATTACTTCTAACGCCATTCATTATCCAAGCCAAAAAATGCAAAGAGAAAAAACCACAAATCTATCTAATGCATCTATGCCATTCTCGCAGGCTATGATTCACTTTGCTTTTAGAATAGAACCCTCTTCCAGCTGACTATGCAACGTAGGAAACGTACCCCAGAAAAGCAAGTTGCGTCATGGAGCCACCGAAAGGCTTCTGGGAGACTGTATGGAAAGCAAGCCAGAATTGCATGGATGAAGATTGGAAGGAAAGAGGTGATTAATACACACTCCCTTTAATACTCTTATCCTGCTTTTCCGCCTTCGAAAGATCCTTCAGTTCCTCTCGATCATCGATTTCGGGCTCCGCCTCGCTTCCTGCATCACTTCCAACATCAACCTGGTCTCCTAGTGCATCGGCCATGGCACTTTTTCTCATTCCACTCTGTTCTCTCTTCCCAACTAAAGGCACATACCCGCTTGGGACCGATCCATGCCCCTTCGCCAACCGTTTTCGAGTGTCTTCTTCTGGCGAGTATTCGGTATCACTGCCTGCTTGACTAGTACGCCCAGATGCAGAGCCACCGAAATCACGACCAGCTGAGCGGACTAGGAGGTCGTGTCTAAGAGCAGGAGAAACCACTCTATGACGCATCCGCTCATCAACACCAATAAATGATGGAGTCCCATCCGGGCTACTCACTCCATCTTCTAATGACTTTTGTACATCAAGTTGTGATGGTTTCAGGCTCGAGCGGCCTCTTGGATCGTCATCCTCTTCACTGGAAGATTGCCAGCGTCGTGCAGTAGGTCGTCGAGCAATGACGGTTTCCTTAGTTGTGCTAACATCAATTGGCCTTCCATTCAATTGCATGGCATGCATCGAGTTTTCCTTTTTGTAGTTGTACTTACCGTGATCGCAGCCATTTGGACAGCCTCCCCACTTCTTTCTGATTGGAACAGGGCTGGCAAGTCCTCCTTGCGCGACGTCCAAGAGTCTCTTTTCCTTTTCTTTGTCTTTTTCGGACAGCTGGGTAGAGGATGAAGACAACTTTTCTTTAGCAGCTGCGGCCTCGAGGCGTTCCCTCTTCAGTTCCGACCATGTTCTGAGGTTGTTTTCGAGGATGTATTTGCCTGAATCTTCCTTCTTTCGCATGATAAGAAATTCGCAGTGGTTGACATTCCGGAGATCCTCAAAGTATTCCACGCTGAAGTGGTACCATTTCATGAGAAAAATTCGGCTCATAAGGCCATGAGTGACTGCGTCAACATTAGCCAAAAGACTCCCACTTGATGTTTATTTAATATTGGATGCGCAACATACCTAGTACGCAAACACTGGCGCAGTCTTCTTCACTAAACTGTCTCCAAAGACTCTCGTTGAATCCACTAACTCGATCGTACGCATCAGCAGCCGATTCTCCGTCCGGGATTCTGTAGAAGAAGTGGCCATAATCTGCTCTCTCCTGCCACATTCTCTCCATCTCGGCCGAACATGGCTGGAAGTTTCCAAAATCCTGCTCTCGCAGTCTGGGCTCTTCGTAGACTTTGATCGATTGACGGGGAAAGGGGGAGGGGGATGGCTCGTCCGAAGTTAGGGTCGAGAGGATTCCTTCGGTCGTTTCGCGAGTTCGTCGATAAGGTGATGTAAAGAAGTGGAGTGTATCGTCCGCTCTCAGAAGCGAGCGTAGTCGTCGCCCAGCATCATATGCTTGGGTCCAGCCTTCGGGAGTGAGTTTGACTCTGTGATCTGGGATAGTTTGGTGGATATCTCGATTTTCTAGGAGGGTGAGGAAGATTAGCTTTGCCGTTCCAACCAAAGCAATGCAATAGTGGTTTGCTGTATCCACAGGCACAAGCACAATGACAACGCCAATGCTTGAGCACAAAGTAGAACTTACTGTTTCCCTCGGATTGAGCATGCCTAATCAAGATAATCATGCGGGGTTTCCCCATGGTGGCGCTAGTACCAGTGCGTTCAAGTAATACTAGTTGTAGGTGTGGAAGTGGGTGTGGGTGTAGGTGTAGGCGTAGGTGTAGGTATTCAGTTTGGTGCGCTATGTGACGTGGTAGGGACAGTTGAAGCTCGTAGTGATAGTGGGGGTCTCTGAAGGAATGAAGCGATGATACTGCTGATGAGATAAGAAAAGAACAGTGACGATGTCTATGTACTTGTAGTTGCTTTTTTCAGTGTCCACTTCACTCGGATGAGGAGCATGAGACGATCGGACGATCTGATGATGCTGTAGCGGTTTCAAAGAAGAGACGAGCAGTGCCAGTGCTTTTTTTCTGCCGATAAGGCAAGGGCGGGCGCGGGGAGGCACTGGGAGGATATCGCTTGTGATTGTGACTCTGAGCTCGTGGCTCCCTCGGCTCTGTGTGCACCAGTGTGGTCTTAGCCGGGTAAGGACTTATGAAGTGCTCCTGTAGGCGCGCGCTTCTCGGCGCCAAGATAGGATCGCGCTTGCATAGCCAATGAGAACGTCGACGACCGTTACGAGGACAGCACTCCCCTGGGACTGGTAGTATCCCGAGAGCCTTATTCTGATGTACTTCGTATCTATGGTTGGTGCAAGGCACACGATACTTCGTCAAATAAGTTTGTCTAATTTATGGTCAAACCACTTGGGAAGTCTAACTCTGGCGAGAATAGCCTGTTATATGTCCACAAACAGCATAACATAGCCTCGTAGATCAGCGTCTCTGAAGAGTGTCGTAGATTTATGATAGGCAAACGTTATATAGTACAGGTACAAACAAGTACGAGTCCTAGTACAAGCCAAGCTACCTAGTAATCGTCGTGTTCGGGTATCAAATGTTATGCCTCAACTCAACGGATCCGTACCAGATGCAAATGCATCTCAAGTGATGATCAAATGCACTCTTGTTGGCCATATTTTTGACGCCCAACGAACATCACATAATAAACACTTTGAGTTCCAGACTCTCGGGTTCATATCCATGTATTTAATAAAGATCATACATGGCATTCGTCTGAACTCGCATCTCCAAACCCTGAGGCGCATCACCCTTCCAACGCCAAGGATCGCCTGGTGTATCAAGAACCACAAACTACCTAGCTACCTAATTTACTTACGACCAAGCTCCTCCTACTGTACCAACACCCGTGTTCCGCAATTAGCTTCCTCCTCGCACCTCTTCCCACCAGCTCGGGAGAGTAAACTCGTCTCTACCCATCAGGCGCAAGCCAACCGAAACTTGGCGCACTTTCTCCTTCTCACCTACCTACCAGTACACAGTCACAATCAACCATGTCCGAAACCATCCCAGAATCCATTCCCACCTCCCACGACCCACGAAGCAAACGCCCTCTCAAGAAGCGCGCCCTAACACCTCGCTCCGAAACCGCCAGCGCAATCTCCTCCCTCTTCTCCAAACCCGACCAAGAGATCCGCATTCCCTCCGCGACCTCTCTGCAAAAATACAATGGCTCCGCGCCCCCAGAAATTGTCGCCAATGTACAAGGAAGTTCCGCAGGAGCAGGTAGTGGAGAATTCCATGTTTACAAGGCGAGTCGGCGACGGGAGTATGAGCGGTTGAGAGCGATGGATGAGGAGGTGAAAAATGAAGGCGAGGGAGCGGCGTGGGAGAAGGAGAAGAGGGAGAGGGAGGAGCGCGATCGAGAGAAGACGAGGAAGAATAGAGAAAAGAGGGAAAAATTGAAGAAGAAGAAGCAGGGCGCGAAAGCGACGGATGCTGCAGAGAAACCAGCAGCTGGCGGAGAAATTAAAGCGAGAGTCAATGGCCCGTCAGATGGGGGCAATAAAGAGGACGAGGCAGCGACCGAAGTCCAACAGGTTGGGGTAATCATTCATGATGATGATTGAATTTACCTGTCAATCGCATTGCGATCTTGCTCAAAGTCATGGAATATGGAGGATGCATGGGTCAGGAGAGCCCAAAGGACAAATCCTATAGGAAGCCTCATTGAGGAAGTACGCTGAGCCTTCTAATGGCTGGCAGTTAAGAGGTTTCTTTGGCATCAAATCGCGCATACATTTTCCCGAGCTTCTATACTATGGTACAAGGGTATGCGCGTCGTATTCATTGCTTTTATTAGTACACTAACAGCAAGATGTTTACTCTTCCCCACCACCGCCACCTCCACCTTGTCTCGCAGCTTTTGCGCTGCAAATATCATCTACTCGCAACAGTAGGCAGGCGGACTGTAGGATAGATTAGTATAATACAACCAAAATAATAAAAATGTACCATCACATACCTCGATAGCAGTCTTGATGCTTTGCAGCTTAACAGCTTCTGGCTCCCAAACACCATATTCCTTCATGTCAACAAGTTTGCCAACATCTCCATCGATACCCCATGAGCTTCCGCCTTCAGCATGCTTGGCACGTAATTCTGTCAAGACTCTCACTGGACTGTTACCAGCATTCTGAATCAAAGTTCGGGGAATGACTTCCATGGCCTCAGCAACAGCTTTGTATGGCCATTGTTGAACACCCTCAATACTCTTGGCGAGTTGCCCCAATCTGACAGCAACAGCCATTTCTGTTGCACCACCACCTGGTGATAATCTGGGGTGGAACATGACGTTTCGGGCGACGGCCATAGCATCAGCCAAATTTCGGTCAATCTCGTTCAGAATGTCCTTAGAGGGTCCTCGGAGCAGAATGGTGCAGGCTTTGGGGTTTTTGCACTTCGTGAGGAATGTAAAGTACTCATCACCAATCTTTTCAATCTCGAAGAGACCACAGTCAGTTCCTACATCCGATTCTTGTAAATCATCCACCCGGTTAACAACCGTTGCACCTGTAGCACGTGCTATTCTGTTGTTGTCGGTTTTGCGGACCCGACGAAGAGCTGTAACATTGCCCTTCATCAAGTAATGCTGTGCAAGATCTAGATTTGTTAGTATTTCGACACGGGTAAGAAGAAACAAACTTACCTGAAACACCCTTCTCGGTGATAACTAAATCTGGCTTGAGAGCGAGAATGGCATCACACATGAGTTTAACCTGTTCCTCCTCAATTTGCAAGATCTTGTTCCAGTCCTCTTCCTTACTGATTTCGATGTTGGTTTGAGATTCTCCCTTCTTGTATTCCAAAGTGCAATCCAACAAGATAATTCTTGGGTTCTCTATCCGTCTTCTCATCTTTGGGTGGGTAATATCCTTATTGAGCATGACACCGTCCAACACTCGACTGTCCTCAATCTCTCCTCCTGGAACCTTCTCAACGCGAGCATAACGCTTGATATCGACTTCCATCTTTCCGCCGCCAACTTCGTGCGTTACTGTTCGCACAGCCTTAAGTGCAAGATTGCACATGAGTTCTGACCACCTAGAGACGAATTTGGTTCCGATAGAGGAGGAAATAAGTTGGTACATGGCTTTGTCATCATCGACGTCGACTGGAAGAGAAATTTCATCAATAATCTCGAGGGCGTCTTTAAGAGCTGCTTTAAATGCGGATATGATCACAACGGGGTGGATATTTCGCTCGAGCTGTGGGAGTGCTTGAGCAAGAATTTCACCAGCTGGAAAGGGTTAGCTATAGTCAAGATCTAAATTCCGTGTTGCCCTACCCAGAATGATCACTGTCGTCGTTCCATCCCCAACTTCTTCATCTTGTGTTCTGCTAAGCTCGATCATACTCTTTGCCGCAGGATGTGATACCTCGATTTCTCGTAAGATGGCATGCCCATCGTTGGTCAACACGATACCTCCCATAGGATCCAACAACATCTTCAACATAGCCTTTGGACCCAAACATGATCGAATAATATCTGCGACTCTGGTTTGTATAAGTGACTGGCCGGAAACTCCAAGGCTGCTCTCAAAGCTTACGTCTTTGCTGCTGTGATGTTCGATAACTGCGCCTTTCGCCCAGTCTGTCTATCACCACTTTGGGTGTCTGCGGAAGAGTTGTCAGTAAGAGCGCTCGCTATTCGTGGGATGGTGGGGTGCTCAGAATTGATAACTTACTCATAACCAGCACGGGGGCCTGCATCTTGAAATTAGTATAGCAGGCAGGAGAATTTCAGGTTGTTCGTGCGGGATGTCAAGGTATGAGGCGGTATGTGGAGTGAGGTGGGGAGGGGTAGTATGAGCTTTATTGAGGTTGCTATTTTCTCGCGTTCAGAGGGTTCGCGCCTAGATAAATTCTGTGCACGGACTATTTGTGCAGTTGCTGCGTGCTCTCAAATGAGAAATTTCAGAACACCATCCCAAAGGAAATTGCCTGGGGAAGACTAGTCAGAATGATGATTACTTGATCTATTCATGGTAAATATGGTAAATTAATTCTACACTATATATTACATTAGTCTCGGCGCCAGCACCAGAAATTCTATCACGATTCCTTCTTCCGTCCAACAAATGTGTTCATCCCGCGATCTACACCACTTATTTTCCTCAAAATGGCCTGAACTCCCACCGGCATTACATTCATCCAATCGATCCATCTTGCATAAAGTGGAAGTGACACCTCTGCGCTAGTGCCTGCATCAATGGCGGCAATGATCTCTTTTGCAACATCGACTGGCTCCAATTCCGGCGCAAAGAAACCACTGGGGGTCCTCACCCCGGTGAAAAGAGGTGTAGTTAGTTGGCCAGGTGTAACCAAGACGGTCTTGATGTCAGGTGTCGATTTGAGCTCTGCCGCCAACGATCGATGCATGGCTGTGATGCCTGCTTTTGCGGCGGCGTAATCGCTGAGTCGTGCGGCACCTAACTTGCCAATGATACTTGATACGGTCACAATTGTGCCCTGGCCAGCGCGGACCATGCTTGGGAGGAACGTCTTCAGGGTGTAGAAGTGTGCTAGAAGGTTGACACGGAAATTGTTGTCTATTTCATCGAGGGATAGGTCGAGAAGAGGCTTGCCGCTGACGACTGCTGCGTTATTGATGAGAACTGTTGGAGTACCGAGCTAAATCTCATGTCAGTTTATATTTAAAGTTGCTAGAGGGTGTACCGACATCTCTTTCAATCTCAATTGACGTCTTCGCAAGCTGTTTCTTGTCCCCAACATCGCATTTATATACGTAAACGCCTCGCGCTTCTCCAGACTCCAGCTCTTTGACATCCAACACGGCTACGGAAGCTCCTCGCATACCGTAGACTTCCGCAATCAACAGTCCCAAGCCACTGGCGCCCCCGGTGATCACAATCACCTCTTCAGAAAAGTCGACCTTGCGCGGTTTGGAGTAGGCGATCTGTTTATTGAGGACATTGACGAAGAATAGAGCAGTTAAGACAGCAGCATACCCGATCGCAATCTGAATTGCTGGATGCTGCCATCGCATAGCTTGCGCTCGCATGCAAAGTGGGACCATCCAGGCTACGAAAGGGTGTAGGAACGTAACATTGAGAACTTTGAGGATCAGGTCGACAGAGAGGGGTTTGGCCCAAGACATGTCTCTGAGTTGATGATTCATGGCAGACGATGTTAGTGGTATTTCTACAAGAGAGAATTGAATATATATTTTCGAAAGAAATGGAAGAAATCAAGAAGGAAGGCAAGCTGTCATGTAGCTGGTGGCATTTTCAGACACGACACGACTTTCAGGACGATGGGGCTCACGGGGTGCAGAAAGAGGAGGAGCTGGAGCCGTTTCAAGAACCCTCACATCGGCGGGTACCTGTGGGAAGGCAGCCAATCAGGAAAATGTGTCAGCCTTGCAGATCCGGCATTCGAACATGGAGCCGATGATTCCCCGCTTCGCGCCCCTTTTCTCGACTCGGCAATTTCTTGAAATTATCAACTCTTGGTCTAAACAAGACGTGCTATCACAAACGTCATTTGTCACCCACAAAATAGAGCAACTCAGAGAGTGGTTGGTATTTCTTATTGTTGGTATTTGCTTTTGTGTTGTTTATATACAGTATTTCTTCCAGAATCGATCTGTTTGTTTATCTTGCAAGTTATACTTGAGCTTCTTGAAGATTGAAATCTACCGGAGAGATTTTAAAAGCTGGATGTCAAATGATCATACTAATATACGTCCCTCAAGCTACACTTTTCCATTTTCGACTTCCTCCTGTAAGCTTACTTCGTGCACCATCAGATCATGAATATAAGCTTGGCCGATGTAAAGATGTCCATGCTAGAACCCGCCTCATCACACCCTCTCTGACTTCCTGAGGATAAAATGGACTTGGAAACTATTTGCAACATACATCTCATCGCCGACTTTCAGGTCCTGACGTGGCGAAAACTCGTTTACCGGCGTCCGCATTGTTTGGCATGCTTGGAGGTATTCCTGCTTGGACCTTGCTTGGGAGAATCTCCCAGCGGTGATGATAAGGTTAAACATTTCCTTGGAGAACCTTTCTGCGTCGGAAATAGTTGAGCATTTTCTATGTTTCTCTTTTTCATTGCTATTTCTGCCATTTTTCTTCACTACATTGAGTTCATGAAAACCAGTAAGGTGGCCATCATCAAAAATGACAGAGCTGATTCCAGATAGGATCACTATAATCAAGGAGTATTCATTTTCAAGGTTCTCATTCTGTGGTCCTCAAAAAATGGGTATCGGGAAGTTATCAACAGCAAAAAACAGCTCTTGTCGCCGGGAGACCCTATACTGGATGGTTTCTAGAGCAGTGCAGTTTATGTGTCCTCGCTCATAAAGATTGGACACCTGCGATGCACAGAAGTTTCCAATTATCGTTTGTACTGTTAGCCATCCGTGGAGGATACTGGCGCGCACACTCGGCCAGAGCGGTCCGAAAAGAAGCGAGAACGTACGGTGTGATTCAAGCGAGCTTGATGCTCAAATCAGATGAGGCCTCACGAGATAGTCCTCCAAGTCCTAGGCCAACTCACAAGACTAGGAATGCAAACACCCGTCAAATTTTCACTTTGGTTTGCTATCACATGCTTCGCTGAAGCCTCCAAATTCGATCGCTTCCAATGAGGGAATATTGACGTATTTGCTCAGACCGACCTTCAACGACTTTCAACTCTTGCCATGTTAAGTCCACGCCCGCCCAGAGAACGCTATTGCAGCGAATGAAAAGCGCCAGCAAAAGGATAGCTGCCTTACATCTGCAGTCAATTCTTCATGACAGCTCCAATCAAAAAATGAAGCCAGGTCAACGGCCAGCTGCATTTTCAGTCGTCATCTTTGCATCCTCATCAACCAAACTAATTGGCTAATCCATCTGTAGACTAACCTCGCTAGCCAAAGATAGCAAATACAAATGACGAAATGCAAGAAAATTGGCTCGTTTGTTGAGAAGCAACTCCCTTTTTCAAATGAGATAGTTTGGAAGCGAGCCATGAAACGAAACTTGCATATGCCGCTTGCAGATGCATGCGATTGAAAACAGAGAGTGTGGAATCACATGATGACGTCTCATCTATGGCTTTCCGTCGGCAATCTAGGAGAACCTGAGATGCACTCGCGTCTTTTGTTGGTGATAGCTTTTGCTTGGAGAACTGTTGAGGCCTAGGGTACAATAATTGGAGCTTTCTAGAAGTAGTAGGTAAGCTTCCTTCTTTTGCCATAGAGAACTCGATGTCCACTTAAATTCATTTTCTCTTCTGCTGAATTTAGAAGTCAACCACCAAAAGACATCTCGTAAGAGACTAATCTGTTTGTACGATAACATGCCTTCCATCCTGCAAGTTGCGCAGGGTAGAAAACAGCGTGACTCAAACGAACAAAATCCATTGGTAATCTTACATTTCCCCTCACCAGAAGAATATGCAGCAAAACGCTACAAGTGAGGGGGCAGCCATAGAACTATCGCAAAGAACAAACAAGCAAACGGTGAAGATATGCACCTCATAGACCGCCATAACCTTACAGCCTAAGGACGTGAAAGTGAAAGGAAGGAAATCCTCACTCAGAGGGATAAATATGCCAACTAACCTCCTTCAATTTCCCTCCCCAGATCTCGCACCCCATCAATCACCCTTCAAACTCAAAGCAAAATCAACATCCACACATCCACACATCCACAAACACGCTCAAACCTTCAACATGCCTCAAATGACCAAGGAAGACTCCTCCAGGATCCAATCCACCCAAGTAAGCTCCCCCATCTCATCTCCTACCACTTTTCCATGTAAATTCACCCCACATTCCAAAATTGACCATTTCTTCCCCCAGGCCAAAGGCGGCAACGACATGACATCCGGCGGCTTCGCAGCCCGCGCCCAAGGTGCTGCTGATCGCAACACGAACGCCGCCGCCGCTGGCGGAAACAATGTACAGAGCGGCGACAACAACAGCGGTGCTGGAACTGGAGGCTGCGATAAGAAATGAATACCCTCTGTGAGAAATTCAAGCTTCATGGATGGTGGTCTGGAGCGAGTGTGATCTGATCGTTTGGGATGTCTGGTTTCTTGTGAGGGACTTGATTTGAGTCTGGAATGGAAGTTGGTGGGAAGATGAGATGTTTACACTCTTTTACTCTTTTTTTATGGGGCTTTGAGTTTGAGAACTGGTTTTTTGGTATGGATGGGTTGAGATAGACGTACGCTCTTTTATGGTTTATGAGAGATTGAAAATGAAATCTTTGGATGGAGATGATGTGTTATGAAGGACATGGTGAAATCCCGATCCACGCAGAAGAAGGAAAGCAGTTTTCGAAAGGATTGTGTTGCTGGGAAAGGATGGGATTGTGACTGGGAACATGTCATAGCTTTATCTTGCTAATCCTACTTCTGAAGAAGGGGGTCTGTGTAATGCGCCTCTCACGTTGCTGTGGAAGCAGTGCGAGGTGACTGAAAAGATCTTGGTCGTAAGCTGATAATTTTCATCTCGTATTCGGAATACACGATAGCAGATTGCTCTCCAATAACCACTGAAAGTTTTCCTCCCTTTCCATGCCGAGTTAATGGTAATGAAATCGCTTGTTAATCGAGTATATACTTTCTATCGATCCAAGTAAGTAGGTCGTACAAGAGGTTATAATATTCGAGGCTCATAAGAGGATCCACTAACTAAAGACTGTATCCCATTCGATACAGCCTTCTTTCCAAGCTTCCTTGATTAGATTCAAACCTTCCGTAGTAAAAAACCCCTCTAAATATAATTCTTTAAGTCTTCCATAAACAATTACAGTAGAGTCATTCTCCTAGCTCCCCTAGCACCTCCCATACTAAGAATACAAGTATTCTATTCTAGACAGTTATCTATCCTACCCATTCTCTCGGAACCTCGAAAACAGAAGGACCCGACGTAGTTAACCTATCACGTGAACTACCTGGTTCCCTCGCTTAACTTACGCAAAGCAAAATATTATCTCCAAGTAAGTCCGGAATAATGACGAATAATGACGAATACACCTAATACTCCTAGACCTTATCCAAATCCATAACCTACGTATATCAACCATTGAACCACCAGCGTGCTAGCTTATAATCTATAAACAGACTACCGTCACGAAATCATATTTTACGATTAAATGAAATGAGTGTATGGTTGAAGAGAACGCTGTGTATTTAGCGCTCTGCTACAATCTCAGCAGCGGGGTATAATTTCCTGGGCAATGAAGCCATAACGAAAATCTATGTAGGTATCTGGGTATCAACAGCGCTCAAGCAAACTCCACTTCCACCACCATCACCATCCCTTTCTTTCACCATACACACATGGTTTTCATTTGATCGTGCGAGATCTCTTTCTAGGCGGCCCGGGCGACAGAAATCGAGCTCGTTCCAATTTCTCTGCTTTTCCCGCCGACTCGTCGCCTTCGACTATGCCTTCCCCATTTTGGCTTTCCTCGACCTTTTCTGCCTTCTCCTTCTCGGCCTTTAAATCTTCCTCGTATTTTCGAAGGAATAGTCTACCCACAGTGAGGTCGCAATCGCTCTTCGACTGGTCGTCAGGCTTCATATTGAGTGTTTGGAAAGCAGCGCGTCGCCAGTATTCTCTAGATCGTGGCGTGGAGTTTTTGGAGTATTTGATGAGTGCCGCATGGAAAGCTAGAGCCTCGCCCTGAAGACCCAGGACTCGAAGACACCGGATGATGCGAGTAATTCGTAAGTGATTGTGGTCAAAGGATCGATTCCAGGTTTTGGGGTTCGTACCGAAGTTGGGTCCTTTCTTTACCTTTTGAATATTAGTAACTTGGAACGCAGGAAGAATGGCGCAAGGCATATTGGAAAACACTCACGACACAAGTGCCATTCTCACGTTTGTCAAGCTCAAAACCATAGAACTCTAGGATTCTATGGAAAGCACTCAGAAGGCTGGCTTTCAATTTGGGGTCCGAACGGAAGGCATTGAAGACTGATTCGTCGATAATTGGGGCATGGAGATCAATGGCAGATCGCTCAGGCAGAGGGAAGAGAGTTTGGATATAATCGTGGCGTCGCTCAAGCTTCTCATCACTATAGGCAATCATGTCTGCCAGAGAACGGCCATGGCGATCTTTGTGAGTTCCTGAGAAGAACCCAACGAGTTCGGGAGGTGGCGATGTAGCTGCCAGGGGAGGCATATTTATGATGGTTTTGACGATGCTACGTAAGAATGGTTGAGTAAGAGTTGGATGCAGGTGGTTATGAAAGCAGTTCAGGTAGGCAAGGCTGAGGACCTCGAGGGAAGGGAGCGAGGGGCCGACAGCCGCACTGGTCCGTGCATGATTCATTGTTCAAGCAATTGTGGGGTTTACAGTTCAGGTAGCTTGGGCCAGCACCATCACCATCACCATCACCCGCGCTTGCCTCACGTACGGCTACTACAACACATTCGAACCACCACTTGACGCTTAGGGCTTAGGGCTTAGGGCTTAGGGTCGACTTCAAGGTTGACTTGGGGGGCTCGCGTGCTCTCGGTCCACACGGAGCATTTCTGTGTTGGTCTGGCATGATCATCATCTGCTCTCGCTTTACTTTGCCTGTTCTGACCTCACCCAAGGAACCTATGGGCTTATGGAGTGCAGGAGTTTCTCCTTCCGAGGATTTTAGTATGGGATGCTGCGGTAGCCACTCTAAACATTGGACCTTGAAAAAACAGGTAGGAGACTCGATTGTTGCTCTGATCCTTTGTTTTGCTAGGTAATTGGCATTTCGTGTCAGTGACAAACATTGTCCGAATCGGTACCTTTCCGGGAACCAGGAGGTCGAATCTTCGAAAGCTTTTCATAGAGTAGCTAACAACCCCTATCACTATACTTAGCTAGCTGCCTGGACACAGTAACGATATTGGCAAATGCAGCCAGAGGCCAAAGGTGTGGTTCGATCCAATACGCCATGCCATGCCATGCCATGCCATGCTTTGCCATGCTTTGCCATGCTTCTGGTTGCCTATACGAGTGCAATCAATTGTCCGACTACCCAACGTTTAATTTACAAGGCTGGAGTGGCTCTTCTAGCTATGACTGTACTAGGGATAGTAAAGCCAATGGCATCTTTTATTTGCCTAGCTGGAACATCTTTCGGCGTGTTTCCACTGTGCCACATAACACACATCATCCATGCATCTCGAAGATGCAAATGGAAAGATCTGCTGATGATTTGATATTTCTTACGATACTCAAACCGTTGACCCAATCAGTCACGGTAAGCAAAGTCAGCTTCAGCCGCGAAATGTGGACGTCGTCAGCATATAGGAGGTATGTAGTACAGTATACCAGCCAGCCACCCAAAGGGCCCGGTTACACGAAAATGACTTTGACTGGAAAACTCGTCCCTTCAAGTGTTATTTTAACCTCGTGTATTGTGTTGATTTTGAACCTCGTGTTTTGCCATGCCGATATCTCTAATTGAGCAGTTCCTGAGCCTCGGAATGGCCGCGGGGTTCCAGTTTCAAGTACGACGTTGAAGCTCTGTTGTTTGGCTCAATAATCATACGAACTCTCGTCATGTCAGAACTCTGAAATATCTGACTTTTTCGCGCCCAAGGCCGAAGCTGATTGTGACTGGGGGAGTTTGCATTGGCAAGCGCCGATAGCAGCCACGGCCTGGAAATATCGGTCTGCTATTATGTATCCCTTGTTTGGCTCTGTGAGACCTGAAATTCCGGAGAACGTATATACATCTCCTCCGCCGCGGCGAAGTGCCCTGTGGCTATTTTTTGTAATACTATTCCAATTGTCTAGTCTTATTTCCTCTCGTTCTTTGTGAAGATGAGGTTTCTTGAAAGCTGTTGGACAGCTATCACTTACACACTCGGTTTCGGATCAATCTCACCCTGGAATGGACCAGGCTCTCAGCATCCTATTTCTCTAGAGCCTGTCCTTGCTGGCCATGGTGCTCCACACGTTGTTGATGACACCCCCAGATTTAGGCCTCCCAATGGACCAGAACACTCCAGATTCATTTGCGAGTATCCACAAATGAAGGGATGGAGAGATTGTTCAACTTCTCGCGATCGGGGCTGTTGGCTCCGAGGACCAGGCGACAAGAAGTTTGACATTAATACCAATTATGAAAACAATACACCCATTGGTGTCCTTCGCAAAGTAAGCTTTTGTTGTGAATTATGTTTCCATAAATTCGCTGACTTTCGTCAAGTACACTCTAGATGTTGACGATATGGAGCTGCATCCCGATGGTTTCAAAAACTTAGGCGGTAAAGTGTTTAACAAAACCTTTCCAGGACCTTGGATTCGTAAGCTTAAGTATCTAATTCTATCTAGCTGTGTGATGCTGACTATTCTTAGAGGCTTGCTGGGGTGACGATATAGGTAAACAGACTACTACCTTAATTTAGGGGGTTTATTAATTCTCTCTAGAAATCACTGTTCGAAATCACTTGAAATATAATGGCACTACTATACATTGGCATGGCATCCGTCTTCTCAACAACATGGAAAGCGACGGAGTTAACGGTACGCTTCTTATCATTTGGAAGAAAGAGTAATATATACTGATTTTAATTCACAGGAGTTACTCAGTGCCCGATTGCTGTAAGAGGCGCCCGTTACTTAACTTGAGAAGTGCAAATAATCTGATATCAGCTAGCCGGGTGATGAATACACATACAAGTTCAAAGCTCAACAATATGGAACTTCGTGGTAAGCATATCCTGGGACGGATTCAACCCAGATTGTAATTAACCATTTCGTAGGTATCACAGCCACTATTCTTTGCAGGTATGTCTCGAAATCGTGAGCTTTAGTTTGAAACGAGGCTGATAAAGCAACCAAACCAGTACGGGGACGGCATGAAGTGAGTAAAAGCTTTCAAATTTGTTCTACTGAAATCATCAAAATCATACTCTATTGCAAGATACTGAAGTACAAGACTTGCGGAGAGACTCGAAATGATTGAATTTGGGTAACTCTTGTGATCTCAAGTAGCTTCTTCAATCTACTGGAGTATTCACTTGTTTCTAGCACAAAAATATTACTGAAAAGTCTCCGGGTCGTATGCTCAAATAAATGTTTGCTAATCACGAATTAGGGGCCCATTAACAATTTATGGTCCATCTTCAGATGAATATGATCTAGCTATTGATCCTATTTTGATGAGTGACTGGAGCCATCGAAGTGCCTTCGAGGATTTCCAGAAAGAGCTTGATCCGTCACATGGTAGACCATTGATGATCAGTGTTCTCCTTAACGACCAGGGTAAAATTCCACCAAATCATGAGTATGTTATGTGGGCTGACAAAATCACAGGTAGATACAATTGCTCCGAAATAGAAAAGCAACAAGGGAATTGTACAGAGACACCTCCGACCTACTATAATACAACAGTTCAAGCTGTAGGAAACCCGACCATTCATTCATGTTCTTCTAGCTAACATCAAATGCAGGGAAAGAAGTATCTTCTCCGAATCATTAATACTTCCGTAGACAATACTTTTATCTTCACTATCGACAATCATAACCTCACAGTCATCAGTGCGGATTTCGTCCCCATCAAGCCTTACGTAACAAATGCTGTCTTAGTTGGAATAGGTAAGCTCATCCAATCAAAGCCAAGGTTGTTGCTCACACATGTGCCTTTCAGGTCAGAGATATCATGTGATTTTGGAAGCAAAACCAACCATAACCACGTCCAAGAAAAATTTCTGGATTCGAACTGTTGTTCCCCAAGGGTGCAGTGGATTCCCTCAAGGGTCACCTCCTGAGGAGAAGAACGGAATCCTGAACTATGAAGGCTCCGATATTAAGCCTCCAGAGACCGCCAAAGGAAAATTCGATGAGACGTGCTCAGATGAGCCATATGACAAATTGATTCCTATTGTTCCTTGGCAGATTGGAGATCCCGTCAACGAACGTAAGCAAGCTTCCTGATACCTTGACTATCGCTTTCTCACATCAAAGCAGAACAGTCTAGCACTTTCCAAGTTGGGCTAACTCAAGTTGATCCCACTACTGGCAAATATCCTGGACAACATAATTACTCACGATGGGACATCGGCGGCGAGCCGATGTTCCTCAACTTCTCCAACCCCACAATCAATAACCTTCACCAAGGAACAGTTTGGCCAGCTCAAGTGGGAGTAATACAATCAACAAACACGCCCGCTGTGACAGCCGAGTCGTGGATTTATCTCGTCGTCACAGCTACAGGATTCCCCTTCAGCTCCGCACCAAAGAACTTCATTCCGGCCGCCCACCCAGTACCTCCCCCACCCCCAAACAACACATACACAACTAACAAACCCGCAGATCCACCTCCACGGCCACGACTTCGCCATCCTCCAACAAAGCGAAAAGCCCTTCTGGGCGCCCCTCGTCAAGATCANACACATACACAACTAACAAACCCGCAGATCCACCTCCACGGCCACGACTTCGCCATCCTCCAACAAAGCGAAAAGCCCTTCTGGGCGCCCCTCGTCAAGATCAAAAAAGACAACCCCCCACGACGAGACGTCGCACTCCTCCCCGCCAACGGCTACCTGCTTCTAGCATTCAAAGCCGATAACCCCGGCGCGTGGCTCATGCATTGCCATATTGCGTGGCATGCCTCTTCGGGATTGGCGCTGCAGATTCTGGAGAGAGAGAGGGCGATTGATATTAGTCCGGCGCATATGAAGGAGACGACGAGGGTTTGTGATAATTGGAATGCGTGGGTGGGGGATCGGAGGAATCATTGGAATTCTACGGGGGAATTCCAGGATGATTCGGGGATTTAGGGGGTGGCGGGAGGTGTTGAGTTGGGGGGGTTTTGGGTTATGGGAAGATGATTTTGTTCACTTGTACTTGTAGTTGCTATATATGGCTTACTTTGTCTCCTCGTGGAGCCGGTGATTATGCTAAGAAAAATTCCCATCAAAAAGATTGAGATACATCTCTACCCTCCGCATTTCTCGGCTATTCAAAACCTAAAACCTTACCTTCACTCCAGCCACTACAATATAACCCCAAATAACCCCTTTCCATCTAACAAACAAAGTTCTATGGTCTAGCGGTAAATATCATGGTTCTGAATCTCTTGCTAACAAAAGAGAATAGAAAAAAACATCTACTAAACCTTGGGGTCCCTTTCCAACTTCCAAATTCTATCCTCGGGCGACGCGCCCAGGTATTTTTCTATAAATTTCTACTCGTACTTGCCTTGCTAGGAAATTTCTGCACTGCTCACGTACTGGGCGTAGGGACCAGATGGTGTTGTGTGATGAGAGAGCTGCGAAGCTTAAGTGAGTATGGATTTCTAGCTTCTGATTACCGCTGGACTATAACTTCTATTGGGTTGAAAGGGTATTGGGTACTGAAGGTCATGGAGAATTGATTGCATTGTAAAAGGTAGCTATCTAAGGTGTTTATATAAAGAGTGTAAGGTTTAGGCAGACATGAAGCATTTAGGCAGCAGAACTATAAGTGGATCAAATAAGGAAGTGGAGCAAAAGAGAAAGTAGACCCAGCACAACAACTTCTTTTTTTCTTTTCGAGAAGCGGTGTTTTACTAGCAAGAAGGGACTAGAGGTTAGGGAGTAATAACTTTAGGTGTTGAAAGGTTGATGGGTTCGTTAGTCTTTTGTTATATGGTGTGTTTCTGGAAATGGATATAGGAACATCTAAATTAAGTTTTAAGGTCTGAATAATCATTGTTCTAACTTCTTCTATTGGGGCTGATCCTCTACCTCTAAGTGTGTGTCTTGTTGAAATAACACCTTCTGATCTATATTAACAAAAAGTCTAGAGAAACCCAGAGCTCTCAACTTTGAGTCCCAAGGACAACTCTTCTTCGCATCCCAAATTTCCGATACCTACCATCTACTCCTCAAGCCCCCGAAGAAGTTCTCTCAAGCACAGGCCCAACCTTACTAAACCAAACCGCCGGATCCATCGTCTCCCTATCCGGCAACACCTCTTCATTCGCTTTCTGGGCCTCATACCTATTACAAGTCCCCGCCCTCTCAAAATCCAACTTGAGATATAATTCCAGCGCCTTCTTATTCAAAGGATGCGTACAAGCCCGAACTCTACTCGCCTTTTCACCCGATTGCTGCACAGCAAACTCACAAGCGGAGTTGATCAATAACTTCCCTACACCGTGACCGCGATGGTTCGGACTGGTGTATACACCAGTCATCTGCCATTTCGTTTCTTCCTCATCGCAGCCGATGGCGCGACCTCCGCTCTCAGGCCATTCGTAGGTGGTCTTTGGAATGGGTCCGATGAGGGTTAAGCAACCGATGAAGTCTCCTTGATCGATTGTTTGTTCTGAAGGTGGTGTGGAGTTGGGGTAAGCTACTGCGACGAACGTGTGGATATGGGGGAGTTTTAGCTTCTCGATGCGAGAGGTGAAGGAGGGGATGGATTCTGAGGCGAAGGTTGCGGAGAAAGCGGCTTTTTCTACTTGCACAGCATTCAGTTTAAGTGAAGCGAATTTTCCGGCGAGGTAAGAGAGGAGGATGGGATTGTTTTTTGGGATGTGATGGACGTGGTAGACGAATTCCGATGGAGCATCCAGCGAGGTTGTCATATTGTAGGATTCCTCCTTTTTGGGTAAAGAGATAATGGTTGAGAATGGTCTTTGAGATGGTTAGGTCTAGGAGGTTTCATGACTCAATTTATAGATTTGGAATCTGTAACATTGCACTGTTGCTTTTGCCTGTGACTCAGTCAATGGATGGTGAAATTATTCAGGAGGGAAGGTGAGTGGACAAGTTGTGGCTTTGTACGTACTTTATTCAATAAAATTGTGGCTGTGTATTTACTTACTCTCTCACAGGGGCGGCTCCATTGAACTAGGTCATATTTCTGACTAACATCCAATCATGACTCCATCGAGTTTCCTTTCGAACACACCTTGGCTGGAATGATTATAGTGATATATATTAATTTATCACTAGTATGAGACTGAAGCATCTGTTAACATTACCATGAAACTATTCCTATTAGAAACTTTCGATTTGTAATTTGCCAAAATTGGAACTTTCAAAACAATGAAATGGAGGAGACTTCTTCTTGTATCACGTGGATGGGTTCCGATCTCGCAAACTTCCGACATTGTCCAATCAGGACACTCCTCTACTGACTCACATCCTTCAAAAATATATCGGCTCGAATTGCTTCAAGCCCCCAATCGAACAATTAACTCTCTCGCAGTCGAGAAGCCAACAAACTCCTACAATTGACACCGCCCAACCCAAAATGTCTACATCACATGACTCACCTCCCGAAGATAAACTTTACGTCTCTAGCAAATCCGCCGAATCATTTGTTCAATCCGTCCTAGAAGGAAACGGCGTATCACCAGCCTCAGCAAAAATCATAGCCCACTGTCTAGTACTCGCCGACTTACGAGGTGTAGACACTCATGGCATCAACCGAATCCCCTCTTACATGGCCCGAATTCGAGCCGGAGTACTAGATCCCCAAGCCGGACCAACACTTACCCAAACCACCCCCGTAGTCGCACATATCGACGGAAACAAAAGTTTTGGATTCCTTTCCGCTCATATGGGCATGCAGAGATGTATCGAGATGGCGAAGGAATTCGGGATCGGGATGTGTGCTATCAAACACTCGAATCATTTCGGGATGTCTGCTTGGGTTGTGCAACAAGCTATTGATGCGAATATGATGAGTCTTGTGTTTACAAATTCCTCACCTGCCCTTCCAGTCTGGGGTGGAAAAGAGAAGTTGATGGGTGTTAGTCCTATTGCATGTGGAGCTCCAGGTGCAGAGGGGGGGAAGCCATTTATTCTCGACATGGCGCCTAGCATTGCTGCGCGAGGAAAGATTTATAAAGCTTACAGGAGAGGAGAGAAGATTCCCACTGATTGGGCTCTGGATAAAGATGGGAATCGAACGGATGATCCAGAAAAGGCTCTTGAAGGTGTGATGTTGCCGATGGGTGGACCGAAAGGAAGTGCACTGAGTGTGATGATGGATGTTTTCTCGGGTGTCTTGAGTGGGAGTGCTTTCGCAGGTGGCGTTACAAATCCATACGACCCGAGTAAGCCAGCTAATGTTGGTCACTTTCTCATTGCCATTAAACCAGACCTGTTTATGGACTTGAAGGAGTTTAGGGAGAGAATGGGTACTTTGTATGAGAAGGTCGTCGGAAGCGAAAAGATGGCTGGGGTGGATAAGATTTATTTTCCCGGCGAGATTGAGCAGAATAATCAGTTGGAGAGGGAGAAAACAGGTATTCCATATGTGAAGGCGGAAATTGAGGCGTTGAATCAAGAGGCAGAGGGGGTTGGAAGGCAAAAGATTGAAGTGATTGGCTCGTAGTTTGTGTCATTATCCCCGAATACTAACATGTAGAACTATTTCAAGAAGAAGTCATGACTTAGTTAATTCTTATGAATTCTGATCGATTATAATTTTGGCTTGAGTCATTTGACTTTTTTTCAATCTTCCAAACTAGTTAGCCTTGGAATATACAACAATCAACTCTTGGAATAGATCCGCAAGTAGATTCACAAGCAACAAACGAGAAAGGTTTCCGAGTGTTTTCTCTTTGACTTTCTTACTTCAGTATTGCACATCTAGAAAGGATTGTAATTGGATTTGTATAAGATTTTGCTCTGTTGGCAGGAATCGGCTACCTTTGCTCCACTTCAACTCCTTGGATTTCTGCCACATAACTGCGAGCTCAGAGAATACAAGCCCTTTACTCGGGATCCTTTCTGAGAACTTGAGCTTATTTAGTACCAAACTTATAGAACTATTTACGAAGTGCGCTACATACTAATATACATGCATATCTTTGTGTTTAGTACATATCTAAACCCAGAGTAAGCTAAACAGGCTCCACAAATTATTCGCTGTACTAGATATTTGTCTTAGTACTACAATACTAACTACTTTACAGTATGCTTTTTAACCTAAGAATCTAAAAAAGGAAAGATTGATTAATTGAAAAAAAGATGAAAATACTCTGATTAGTCACTACATACATCAAGAATGTACACATTTCGGTCATAAAATGCATTTTTCATTCACTCCAAGGCTAGCTAGTACTACAGTATTTCCAAACCCATCTATAATTGACAAGGAGCCAATTCACCCGAGCCACGACCATTTTCATCCTCGTTAACATGTGAAATAACACCACAGAGAGTCGTTCCATCAAGCTTCAGATATGCAACTCTGACGGGAGTAGTTGGGTCTGCTGATTCAGCCTTCAGGACAAGAGAGCCATCTTTTCTGACTGGGTACGTCAACAGCGGTTGATCCTTCTCATTGCATCTTGCATCGGCCTCGGGAAATTGATAGGTGGTGGTGAAGATGAATGGGAAGACATTGACTCCTTCCACAGGTCCTCCTTCCGTCACGGCAGCTGTTGCCCACTCTTGCTCGATATCGAATTCGCCAACGGAGTTGTCGCAAGTGTAAACTATAACATCTCCCTTCTTCTTGTTCTTGGACTTCTTTCTTTTTGGGTCTGGGGTTGGCGATGCCAGTACGGATGCTACCAGCACGGTAAAGACCATCATGTTTTTGAAAAGCATTGTGTTTGAGGAGATAAAGTGACTTTGGTTGGATTGAAGTAAATTTGGTGGAATTGATTTTGAAGTGACAGTTCGTTGGCTGGTTGGCTGAAGACGTAAAAAGAGTGTGATTTGAGTGGTTGAAGATGTAGATGTAGAAAGAGTGTGGTTGGAGTGGTTGAAGAGCTCAAAGAATGGGTTGATTCATTGCATTATATAACTGACCTTCAAGATGTTAGATAAACTTAATACTAGGCCGGACCGAGCATATTAATAGCACACGTAGGATCGTCAAATTCCGTGAGTATATTTATCACCAAACCAGTGAAGAGGGCGGAAGCATCGGACAATCCACCCCAAATACGCAACGAATATAGATGAATATCATCTACCAGGTTTTAATAGATTTATACAACCTTTGTGCTAACGCTAGGTAGTTTGGTAAATCAAACCTGTGAGCATGTAACGGATTATCCATTCAACCCCAATACCAGGCTCTGCCAAGGTCAAATGCAAGACTTGATTTGCCCGGCCACGCGGTTTCAAAAATATATTTAGAGGTTATTTTCATATAAGGATGAAAGAGTACACTTGATTAAGAATGAACTAAGAAACAAGATTATAGGCAACTATTACAGCACTATCTTATACTATTGCGATATACCCCATCGTTATTAATCATCCCATATCGTAGACCCACTTGTTCGAGTATCTTATGTACTCGAACGCTTTCATTCCTTAAGTACAGACAACAATCGATTTATATACTACTGTTTTGCACTTGCTTTGTTTATTCCTGTTACTCTGATCTCATAGGTATGTCTATAAAAACATAAAAAAATACATTGTCTAACAATAGAAGATGTGTAAACTAGATTATACGACTTTAATGGCCTCCGGTCGATCATTCCGCGACTTCGATGAACCATGCGCATCAGTCGCAAATCAAACCGGATAAAAGGTCTGGACAGCTCGCGTCGCCCCCTCCCCTGTATACGACTTGTTATAGGCAGGGCATAACTCCACAATATAGCCCTCTAAGCCAATTGAATTGTCCGATTCATGTGGAGGTATATCAGAAAGTGACAAGGGGGGGGGGGAGACCCGAGCTGTCCAGACCCTTTACTACGGTAATCGTGCATAAAAGTGTTGTGCATAATAGCTTTCGGAGGGGCCGAATAAAAGCTGGGGAGTCAAGCTGCGCCCTCTCGAGAACCTTACTTTTCTTGTAATTCATTCACAGTAAAATGGTAAATCGAGGAACATTACATACCTAGGCGCAGTAAGTACTGTACGTAGATAGCGATGTTATTTTTGCTAAGTTTAGCCAATCCTTATGCAACAGCACAAAAATCATCTAAATTTATGAGAACCTAATATGTGAGACCCACCTATATTAGGCCCGAAATCCGGATATAGTGTGGATGATCCGAGCTGACCGGTCTCTTTTAAAACCACAAGGTAAATAAGTTAGCTGTCTGTAAATTCAGAGTTTACATTATAAAAAGACACTTTTTGAAGTTGAATTTAATTTTTAGATATTTCTCATAGAATAGTCAACACATATACGTTTTTGAGAATAAATTGCGAGCATACTTAAGTACAATGAAATCGTGGTCTCGGTAACATTAACTCAAAGTGTTTGTTATAGTTGAAGCTCGGATTTCATGATATTTATGATAAGCGAGGGAGGTTTTGTTGATTTACGCCCACTTTAATACAACTAGCTAATACGTGCTTTCTGGGAATCCCCTTTGCTCGTTCCAATAACTCTATACCTATATCAGCATTGATTCATAATTACATAGACATATTTTCATTCATGAATTTAGTATCTTATCAACAAGTCGCACCCTTCCTATTTCCTCAAGCCCAACTCTCACCCAAACTCAACGCAGCAACCTCATAAGCCTCATCCCTCTTCTGATTCCTCCTTCTCCAACTTGGCCACTTATCCCATCCATGTTCCACTCCAGGAACAGTATATCCTTCAACCCTCTTCCCCGCCACTTTCAACCTCTCCCTGAAAGTCTCCGCTTCGGCAAGCAAAGGGTCGGCCCAACAAGTAATAATGACCAAATGATGCGGTAGCGTCTCTCTCAAAATCTCGCCACTCGCCAGTCCAGGACTCAGAAGTGGATTTCTCAAATCGTCTGGTCGTGGATGAAGATACGAGCCCTCATAAAGCCCACCCATACCGGGCGGAACAGGAAGCGGTTTTGAATTCACATTTGAAGCCTTCCTCTGCTCCTTCGAAATCGTCCAATCGAGAGCCGGATAGAAGGAAATCAAACTTCTCAACGTGCCCTTCCGTACAATATCTCTCCTTTCCTTAAGCAGCTCACATAGCTTCATCGCCACCGTAAAAGTAAAGTTTCCTCCAGAGCTAAACCCCGAGAACGAAGTCTTGTCCACATCGATCCCGAACTCCTCGGCGTTCTCCCAGAGATACAAGACTGCCGACACGCAATCTTCGATTCCAACTGGAAATGGATACGACGGTGCGAGTCGGTAGTCTACGGATACGATGAGGCAGTCGGGATTATGTTCTAGAACGGCTGCGAACCAGCGAGCGTCATCACATGCGCGGCCTATTGTATAGCCGCCGCCGTGGAAATCTATGAGGAGAGGGTGTTTTGTTTCAGAATGCTGATTGGAATTTGAATCCGAATCCGATTTTGTTTTGGGTTTTTGATATGATGGCGGAGCGTAAAATAAGAGGTCGAAAGAACCGGGAGTGGAACCGACGGCGCTGTTGATTCGACGGGTGAAAGATGGGGGAGGAGGGAGAGGGGTAGAGAGGTAGCGGTCGCAATAACTTCCTATTACTTGAAAGAAGCGGAATATTCCTGCTTGGATATGGAGTGTTGTACGTGACATATTGATTGTACAGTATCTGTAAATTTACTTCGTTGAAAAGTGATGACGTCAATGATGCGGAGATAACTTACAGTCAAAAGGTGCGCAGGATTTCGAGAAGTGATTATATCACTCTACTTCTCATAAATCCAGCTCTTTTCAAATGTTTATTGGTAGATTAAGTCCAGACAATGGAAAATCGCTACTAGTTGACCTTGTAGTGTATAAAAATAAATCCGCATAGAGCGGTACCGTGGAAAGTTGTTTCTAAGGAGAATGCTGGCCTGGGAGTAGAGGAGTGGAGTAGGAAAAGTTCCAATTAGCCAGACTCCCCTTTAAGCCACTTAGAGAACAGCTTTATATGGGTCCTAGGGCTGAAAGACCCCCCTAAGAGAAGCTGCCGCTGATTCTATTCTTCTACTAGTGAGAAGAAGACTTCTAGCCACTTAGAGCCTATACACGACCCTTAGTTCTATCTACTTTAGCACCTAGTGCTATCTACTACCCCCTCCCCCCTAGCATTCTCCTTAAGAACGATTCACCACGGTATTCATGGTATATTGTTTTGTGATTAGTAATAATAGCTTCTTTTTTCGACCAATCAGAGAATTACCATAAGCAGTTTTGGACGAAAAAGTCTTTCCAGACACGTACTTTGACCAACCACCTATCACAAAACCACAATACACCACTCTACTTTATGAGGATTAATTTGTTGAATATTCTCGAAGGCCAACTAGTAGGTAGAAATGAAAGAGTTTCAGAAGGCTTGGTTGTTTTGAAGCTTGTCTCGAATTAAAGTGGGGGCAATATCTACCGAGAACCTTGTCTATGGATGTGGAGAATATAGTGGAATTGTCTGCATATGTACTCCGTAACCACTACCAGCACTACCACCAACCTCGCCAACTCTTGAATAGTAGTCCACCAGCCTCTAAGCACAACCACTTATGCTGGTCCGCATTCGGTCATTCCAGAGCCGGTTCGGTCGGCTCCACACTTAAGGTCTTTGCAGCATGGAAGAAATCCATCGCCACAGTATTCTATTCTCAAAGGTTGATTAGCATTTACGCTGTAGTACACTAGTAAGTAGACCATGGCTTGTTATAAACACTTACGGTTCAAAGATTGGCATGTAGGAACTTGTCTCTCAAGAAGAGTCCCAGTGTTGACAGCTGCAGCCGAGGCTGTGGTAAGAATAGTAAGGAGGGTAATAGGGAGAGTGAGCTTCATGTTGATATCTCCGTTCTTTCAGAAAGGATGACTTTGACTTTTCTTAGAGCTTTAGTTACTACTATTCATCTGTGGGTGGCTGCTTGTTTTTATATACAGTATTGCAAACTAAGGGGTTCTTTTCTATTACTAATAGGCTCGAACTCAAATGATCAAGGTTTTCCCAATGTCTTACTTCGTCCCAGGCATAACAGAAGCTGAGTTCAGCGGGGCTTTTCAAAGGGTTACAGGGTAAGAACCCTCGTGGACTCAACTTTTTTTATGCCTGAGATGAAGTACTTCGTAATTTACTACTTCCAAGTAGTATAGAAGAGCCGGGAGTGTACAGAGTCCGGACTCCTCGGGTCGCTGCCCCTTGTCAATTTCCATTACCGTCAAAAGTTAAAACTCTACATCAAGGTCCAAAGTGTAGATAAATTTTACCTCAAGTTTAAGCTGGATGCTACTGTCCCTCCCCCCTTCCCTCCTAAGTAAAGGGTTGTTTTTGTACGTAGAGCCACCAAAAATATAATGTTTTATTCACGGGGAGGGGACATAGTAGTAAAGACTTGATTGCCGCGGGAATCAATGCCGCAAGTGCCAAAAGAAAAGACCACGGCTTGACAGCATAGTATGGAAGTATTTACACGTAAGGGCATTTCTTTTGTCTCACTTACTTTCGCATCTTAAAAAGTACCTACTTCCGCAAACCTCAAGCGGCAGCGACTATTAGATATAGGGAATATGCAGCAATATATTATCTGTATATTTTTTAATAGTCGCTAAGTATTTTCCGCCTAGTATCGTATGGGGTTCCTTTCTATCTACCAGTAGAATATTAACTCGAACGATAAGGTTTCTTTTTCTAATCTCGTGAGCGAGAGCGTCGATACGAGGATACTTGTAATTATAAGGATAGCCTTAATTATATCCTTAAGATATTAGGTTCAGAATTTCTTTTATATCTAAAATACCTCCGCGCGATAATAATAATCTTAACTATATATACAAACCATCTAATCTAGAATTCTTTCGGCACTTAAGACGGGCCTGTTTATAAGTATAACCTAGTTAAACTCGTAAAATCCGCCCTCGTTAATATCCTTACATCGGGATTTTCTCTATACTTCTTACTTTAACGTTACTCGCCGAAATATACCAATACAAAACTACATGTATCATTACTATAGTACTTCGCCATAGGCGTAACAAATGTAGTTTTCTCGGGGGTTTTTACCCTGTTGCCATTCAATCTCAACCACCCAAGTAAACCAACATTTGTTTCATTTGTGACGACTTACTTCGTCAAAGACGTATGAATTGTAACTTTCAAAAGGTAGCTTCAGTAGGTAGTAAACAAGGTACCACGTACAGTAAAAGCCACAATTATAACACCTAGAACGACGTACTTCGTATACTTCGTACTAAGCAACCTCCCCGAGACACAGTACAATAGATACCAAACTTAACAAATCACTCAACACGTCACATCCTCAAATTAAGCAAGGGACAATTGCACTCTACCTTAGTACGTCCGAAATAGTAACTCAGAGTTATCGGTTTATTTGTATACAATTAGGTACACAACACCTCTCAACAATACCAAACAACAAAAATCACTAATAACTTGAGAACCTTCAAGATATATGACCGGCCCCAAGTTCAACACCTCACCCCTCACTCCCACCACTATCCCCTATCCCCTACCCTCTACCCCCAACCCCCCTTGGTCTCCAACCTCCTCACCTCCTCACCTCCTCAAGTACCCTACCACCCAAACTGTCAAAAAAAGACAAGAATCCCAAAAAAGATAAGAACCCCCAAGAACCCCAAGATCACTTACAACACAATGCAACTCTTTAATCCAACTCCGCAAATGATTATACACATCCATCCATCTTAATTCCAAAAACTATATTTACCTTCTAATACCGTACCGCACCGTACCGTAGTCCCCCGTACAATAGTACATTATCCTTCAATAACCCCCCTACTATTATTATACTCTAATCCCATCCATCAATTCGCTAAAAGATACCCAACAATCATAACCCAATCCACCTCATCACCAACGCACCAAACCAAACCAACGAACCAAGCAACAAAACCCTCGCTAATACTACTTCCCTACCCAAGGAATACACTATACCCACAACGCTCAAACAACATCTTTCTTTCCCTTTCCAACATGTCATCTCCAGCGTACGGTACTGTATCCATAAAAGCAAAGTCAAAGCAAAGCCACTTTGCAGTATCACCAAATACAATAACAAAAAAAAAAGGGCGGGGGGGGG